GGATAAATAAAAAATTTTTTTATAAAAATCTTCATTCTAATCAACTATCGTGACTCCTGAAAACTTGAGTCATATGTTACATTGAGAAAATGACTTTGTTAGGACATAGGTACATATTTCAAGTTTATCATATGATAAATAAAAATAATAATAATAATTTATATATTATTAATAATTTCATAGTTTGGGTGGTTATTTTTCTGCTGTGTATGCATTAAAGTATCCTGATCGCGTGGAGCGTTTAATACTAGTTTCTCCTGTCGGAATTCCCGAAAACCCTAATGGCACAGAAACCTTAAAAACTCTTGTTGGTCGCACTATGTCTAATATTATAATTAAGTTATGGGATTCTGATATTACACCACAACTGATTATGAGATGGGCTGGTCCTTTTGGTCCTTCGTTGGTCAATAGATATACGACTCGTCGATTTTCACATCTTGATGAGCAAGATCGATTTGATTTGCATGATTATCTTTATCACATATCTTCCGCACCTGGAAGCGGTGAATTTGCTTTATCAAGGATTCTTGCTCCAGGTGCTTTTGCGCGAAAACCATTGATTAATCGTTTGCCAAATTTGAAAATGCCAGCTACTTTTATGTGTAAGTTTCCTTTGACATAATATTTAGAGAGGGTAGCTTATGAATTCTGGACATTAAACTTTGACTACATTGTATGATGCGACTGATCATATTACATGAATAAGTGTCTGGTTTTTATAAGCTTCCTTCTTTCGTGAATAATCACTTTTCATTCACTTTTATCCTTATATACATATCCAGATGGAGAATATGATTGGATGGATTACCGTCCCGCAGTAGAAGCCGGAAATAATATGAAAGTCCCGACAAAAGTCCTTAGAATTCCAGACGCTGGTCATCACTTGTACCTTGATAATCCTATTGAGTTTAATAAAGCTGTGGTTAAAGAAATGTTAGAAACGTTAGACGTATAGCAATAGTTTAATTAAAAAAAATAGCGTAATCAATAATTTGGAATAGAACAATATTTTCAGCATGTATTTAAAACTTCAAGTTGTGTCTTAATTATTCTTGCGCGTGTTTATTCAATTAGCATTCGGCATTTATGAATTTACTCGAACTATCAAATTCTTCACTATAACTTGCAATTAATCATGGACATATCACAACACAAAAGAATTCAGGAGGAGGACATGAACTAATTGTATATGAATATTGCAAAATGAAAACCTGTAACTGATCAGAGTAAATCATTGAATACAGTTACAGGTCTTCACTTTGCAACGCTCATATACATATTGTATTAAATGAATTATATTCTTATAGCGAAAAGTACCAAATAAAGAATTAAATCAAAATCTTCATATCTACGTAGGAAATTTGTTATCTGGCCACCATAAACTTGAAATCGGACGATCCGGCTGCAAACGGATTTGGACAACCATAGCGGGCTAGAATTGTGATTTGCTAGTTTTCTTTTCAATTTATTCGAGGGTTTTATCTTAATTATTTTAAACTACCTTGCCGGTAGAATTCTCCGTTAATAGTGATAACATAAGCACTCACTATTTAGGCAGTAACTTTATTTATAACCCTACTTGCAGGTAGAGGTAAGTAGAGGTCCGATCCACTTTCCTATTACCATCAATCTTTGGTTCACCCACATCATTATTGTTCAACCCAAATGAAGCGATTTCGTTAATCTGAATTTGAATAGGGAATCATTAGAGACTTACTAATCCAAGATTAAGTAGAATCCCAAATAGTGTTCATTAGGTTTTGCAAAGTGTCTCTAATTTGCCGTAATGTCAAACACTTTTGACATTTAATTATATTACGGTCAATAATCCTAAATTTTTCTTGATTGCTACAGAGTTAGGAAATCTGGTTCGTATTAGTGACCCGATCTAATTTGACCATATAACCAGTTGATAGCTTGTTAGCTGATACATTTCGTTGGTAAGGAGAGTATCGTTATCAGAATAGCTCTTATCAGCGAAAATTTCGATTTGTACTGGGTTGAACTTAAATACAATCTTTCTTCTCTTTATAATCACAACTCCTATATAATCACATAAATAATTTCCTTTATATAATCGCAATTAACTTATAATCACTATCTCACTCTTTAAAAATTTTTATTAGTAAAAATACTATACAATCACGAAGTTAATAATTGTTACATACAAAAGTAAAATTTTACTAGGCTAATCAATTTTACGAATTAACAAAAGTAGTTCGGCATGATGACATACATATACCCTGAAATTTTCATGATTTTTTGCCGATATTTATTAATTCACCTTTTTATTTTACGTTTTGGCGCAAAAAAATTATTTTTCTGCGCCAAAACGTAAGATAAAAAAACGAATTAATAAAATATCGGAAAAATTTCAGTGTATATGTATGTTAACATGCCGAACTACTTTTGTTAATTCATAATATTGATTAGCTTAGTAAAAGTTTGGCTTTGATATATTGAAACTATTTGCGACTAAAAATAGTTACTTTTGTATAATTACACTTTAAATACTTTATTTAGTAATGTGATTATATAGGATAAATATTATATAATCCCTCTTTTATAATCACAATTTTATGTGAAACAAACTGGGTAATTATAGAGGAGGAAGACTGTAAATTAAGCACATGGTATTAAATAAGCATCTATCTCGATACAATATATATGTTTAGTTAGGAGTGTTAGGATGTTTAAACCTATAGACCACAGTTAGTCT